CTCCCTCTCTCTCCCCCTCCATCTCTCCCCCCTCTCTCTCTCTCTCTCTCTCTCACACACACACACACACACACATTATATATACGCACAAGAGTAAAACATATGACCCCAAATCTATGACGTATTTATTCGTGATAAAGAGCGTATAAATGAATGTTTTGAGAAATGGATCTCTTCATAAACGAAAAAAATTGTCTACCGTATGCATTTGCAAATCGTGAAATAGTGTAACGTCCATACCTGAAATCCGTAATGAACAAGAACAAATACTGTTTTGCAGTAATATATCGACTTTTCTAAGAGTTCATTTTCATTCATCTAGTATTTGCCACAAAATTGTGAAGGAAATTTTAAAAAATATTAAATTCTTGACGAAACAAGAAAAAATGGAAACTGTGTAAGATGTGTCGTTGCAACATCTTTCATCCAGAAAATTATTTTTTTTAACAAAAGAAAATTGATTGAAAACGTTTTTAAGCTACTTATACTGTTTTATATTAATTCATTCATGAATTGAACTCTTTGAAACATCAATATTCCCCGTCCACCCTAAGCTCAATGTTTGGTAACTCAACACCTCTGAAAGTCATAGTATTCGATAACCTATGTTTCACCCCATCTTTCTATTATATTATTTTTAGGGTGAAAAACATGATTGTAAACGACAGCGCGCGCGGGTTGTCGCTACAGATGTGACATCGATGTAGTTACGAGTATTTTCAAAATATCGGTGGTTTCATAAAATCATTTTTCTGGTTTTGTTGCGGCAGTTAAATCTCAGTTACAAATTTTAATGAAATATACGTTTCAATTTAAATTCTTCATGCGTGAAACTCAATTCAGTTTTAAAGACATCGATCTTTAATAACGACCATCAAACATTAGAGGCATCTGTTGGCTTGTTGGTTCTGTTGGCGATGTCGCATGTGCGTTTGGCAGCTGGAGGGGCGTGGCGAGGCACTGTGCGTTTGTTGGCATTGTTCGCTTGTTGGTTCTGTTGTCGTGCACTGTGCGTTTGGCAGCTGGAGCGGCGTGGCGAGGCATGGAGAGCGCGGGGAGGGGAGGGGGGGGGTCAGGGGACGAAACGGCCGGAGCCCGCGAGCGGCCGCGTCTTCCTGCTGCGCGCGCCGCGGGGTCGTAAAGAGCTCGTCTCCGCGGGCGAAGGCAGTCACGCGACGCCGACGCCGACGCCACCGCCGCGAGCCATGCCGGCCGGCCGACCACGCAGCACCGCCTCTCCGACAACTGGTCACTGCGCTCGATCTCTTCACACGGTCTAATCAACGCTTGCGGAATTGTGTCCAAGGTGTATGGGACTTATTGTACGGTATAGCGTTCACTATTCGACTGCGATGTCGGTCTTCTGCGCTTGGGCAGAAACACAAAAGTGATGCGAAACTGGAACTGCGCTTGCGCGGAAGAAAGATAGTACTGTCGGTTGCTGTAAAGTTTCGTCGCGCGACAACACTCTAATACCACGAGTGTGTTGGGTATTATGAAATTTCTCATTGTGAATTTATCTCGAACTGATATTTTTTTCTTTACGGAGTATGGAGAGGAGGGGAGTTCACACCCATTTTTTTACATCTCTGACTCTGTCGGCCTTTCAGAGCTAGTGGAGTGCGTCACATGACGATGAAAAATCAGCTCATCGCCTTGTACTGTGAATGTTGCCGGGAATTTATCGGAAGAAACCACCGAAATGACCAATCATAACCTCCTCTAATTTAGGCAGTAATCAATCCAAATATTCAGCTACTGTCGAAAATATTCAGCTGCATTCGAGATTCAGACGTACGCAGAGCGGGTCTGCAATTTACACAGCGCCACTTCGAGACTTGCAACATCATGCTCTATTGCTCTGGTTGAAAATAATAAATAACGTTACTTGATATGGGTAATATTTCTCAGTGATACTCAGTTCAGTAACATGGTAGTGCAAGTCCCCCGAAATTGCACAAAACGACATTGGCAATCCTTTTCGATAAATCCTGACTGACAATTTGTTTGTCATGGGTTGACACAGCGAAAATCCGTAAAGCTCATTGGCAAAGAATAATGGCTGCAATTATCAAAGTATCATTTCGATGCAATTGCCGATGGATGTCATGTGATGACACTTCGAGAGGAGGCTGGCGCCAGGTACGTGTGACGAAAGGATTTCCTTTTGAAATTGAAGGCTTTCGTGCTATTCCTGCTGACGCACTACTCACGTCCCCGGTAAATGCTATCAACTTGCGTTTTGTCATCGCTTTTCACCGGGGACAAGCTCCCTTCTCCACTCGTCAACTAATCTCCATTGTCGTGTCAACGCATCTCCCTCGCCTGTTTCATATCAACTCCGTCCTCAATATCTTGTCGCTCACTCCACCACACAATGCCGAGGGCAACGAGTCACCGATGAGAATGTCAGCATCATCGTACACGCTGTACATATGTTTTCGAATCGCAGATCGATGTTGTGAACGAATCAATTTGCAGTTTAGCGGATATAAAGCATCAATTACTCAATTTCAATACTGTCAGCATTACATTGTGTTTTCTGCTTTGTCAATTCCCGCATTGATAAAGCATCCACATTCACCAAGACTCATCATCACCATTCATTGTAATGTCGCAACAGGCAACGCCCAATCATTACCGCAAATAACCTCAACGTTTCGTCAAGGTGAAATTAATTGTATGCTAATGGTTAAACTCTCATATTTTTATGCATTCGTGAGAGATGTAGCAGCATATAGATAGTAAGTAGTATAATATACGGAAACATTTTTCAGAATTGCTGTGAGTTTAATTAAATTTGTAACTTCTCAATTTCTTCCTTTACAAGGAAGGTAACTCCCTTGGGTGCACTGACATAAAGCTCAGAACACTTCTGTCCACCTCCTTTGAGGCGTATCCATTTTTCTGGCACTAACATATTAAGAGAATTATCTTCTGTAGCCCTGTGATTCCATTATTTCTGCGTTCACAAACAAGTTTCTTTGGTATGTTCAGTGTCTTTCCTTAGTACATTAATATTTAACTTAACATTTACTACCTTCATTCGGAACCGTGACTATCAAAGTTAGATTGTGCAGGGATCTTAAAGTGTCATTAATGGTAAATCTCTTACTTAATTTTCGCCCTCATTTCTTAGAAATGCTTCTCTGAACGATGATTTGGGACAACATATTCTGCCACCTCCTGCGAACTGATTACTATTTCGCAATCAGCTATTAATTAAATCCGTTTTTGCCTTTTTTCAAGATAAAAATAAGGTGTACGGTTGTCCCTCTATTTACGAGCTGTACATGCTACAACGTAAGAGTAAATTATCTTCGTAACTTCTCGTATAATCTTGAAACCACTTGAAGTATAGGGAGAGCTACTCTCTCCTCCCTTCAGAAAAGCCAATAATCTCCATTTCGCTCAAAATGATAAACACTATTATTTTCACCCGAACTCTTCGAGTTGTTACTTGTATCGTAGTCCGGTTTGCATTATCGTATCAAAGAAACGGATACTTTTTACATTCGAGAACCTGCCTGTGGGAAGAGGCACATGGCGGGCGTCGTGCCGTCCCGCAGCCGGCTAGTGATGGCAAAGGTGCAAATCTGTGCAGTTTTGTGAACGCACTTAAAGTGCAATGCGCGTTCACGCCACCGCGGTGGGACCATTCCTACCCTTACGGGCATCTATGGCCTATCCTGTAACATAAGAGAAAAAACAACGGTCAGAAAGACATTAGCCTACCGGCGCGCGCATTGCGTGTTTTGTAATACCATGTTTATGTCCCACTCCCACTTCTCTGTTTCAGATTGCTCTTACTCCAGAAAGTGTTTCGGTCGCCTATACTTCGCCCTTATATCGGGCTCGTATGAGGCGATCGCGGAAATGAGTTCATTTTCCGAGTCAGCTGCTTTTTCAAAAAAGTTTTTAGCTAAAGTTTTTAGGTGGTTTTTTAGCAGTGGCACTGATGTTTCGCGATGTAGAGTTTCTATACGAGTTTCTCTAGGGGCGCAGAGGGCGGCCCTGAGACACTCGTTTTGAACTACGGCTAGTGATGGTTTTTGCGATTACGCCCCTGTATAATCCGCTACTGCTACCGAGCGTTGCGCCGTTGTCGCCATCAGCGCCCCCTGCCGAGCGGTTCCGCAATGCGAGTACCGTAACACCGACTCGTTTACTTTTACTTTTGGAGCGAGGTATTTGCGGTTGGCCGGGCCTGCGGACGCGGTATCATCGTTCAAAAACCTGTACTTAATACTGCACTAAATATAAACGATTGCGGGATTATTTTATGGCTTCGCAGTTGGGAATGCCTGCCGGTTTCAATGGCCGTTTCGGGATATCGTCTTCTTCTTTTTAGTGTGGTTCGCGTTGCCGGTTTGTGTTTCATTTAGGCAGCCGAAGCTCGTAAGCTTCTTCGGGGTGCATTCGCATCCGAGAATGTGAAACGAATGGAAACAAAAAAGCTTGAATAACGGCATTTCGTTAGGTTTTAAAATGGAATTTTGAACGAAAAATATCGTTCATGTCTAATTCATTACGTCCAAAAGAATGGAAAATGTTCCTATTTCGTTTCAAAGTGCCCTCGATCTTAATCTCCTTTTTTGTTTTATTCGCGTTGTCGTTTTGTGTTTCATTTCGGCAGGCGAAGCTCATAACCTTCTTCAGAGTGCATTCGCATTTGATGAACATTTCGCGCCATGTCATCGTATTTATTTGCCCATCTAATACTTGTTTATCGTTTTAGGGTTGGCGTGTTTGTTTGCAATTTCTTTGTCGATGACTGTTCAGTATGCGTGCGACTCACGTCGGGGCGATGAAATACCAATCAAGTCGTTTTTCATCTACAAGTTCTGTCATGGAGGGAGTACATGCTGTGAAGTAAATGCGGGGAGAGAAGCAAGCAGAATGAACATACCAAGGAGTCATAAATCGTACTTCGTGTCTTGTGTATACGCTGAAATGAAATTTCTTTTCTTATGTGTTTCGTCTTGCTACATCGAGCTTTGTCGACGTTATGTTTAGAATAGTTTTCAACATTAGACTTTTGAAATACGACCATGAAGTATAAAAGGTATAATGACATTGTAGATATTTCTCTAATTTATCAATTGAAAGATAATTGAAATTTGTTCTTTGTTAGTTGTTCGTAGAAAGAAACTATATTATTTGTTACAAATATTCATATAAATTAATTTTTAAATTTGAACGAAAAAATGTTTTTTCATCTGTGTCAGACATCTACTTGCGCCAAGACGTCTACTTGCTTCTCTAAAATGTACCGTTTTAATGAGGACTAGAATTTCCTGTTATATTTTTATTTTAAGTCTTATAAACGTTACATTCACACAATGAATTTCATTTGTTACAGCTGTGACGGTGCGCTACCTGACCAAAAGATACATTGGAGAATACAGTTCCAGTAGTGGTAAGTGTTATAATTCAAAGTAGAGCATAGAGAAACAAGGTCCGCACTGCAGCTACTCTTTCACAAATTAATATTAGTCCTTGCATGAGAGTCGTTTCCATAAACATTAGCCCAAAGTAATATTTTAAAGGAATTTGAACAAAACTTTAAAAATAAGTGTACAAGAATCTGTAATTTTCTATTAGCGTGTTCTACAACCATGATAATATTTCTCGGTTCATTCAATAATTTTCATAACGTGACAATTGGCCATAAGATATGTTTCCACTAACTATAGGCTATCCCTTTTCCCTTGACTTCCTTCTTTTAAAACAACTCGTGCGCGATGTTTATAGGGAGTCTCTTAAATAACTTGCCGGTGGAAGAAAACATCTTGCGAGTCACCGAACCTAAGACGATTAAAGTAATTTGGAAAGACATTTCAAATAAAAATTTAGGGGGTTAGATCATATTAGATTTATAGTAGACACTAGAGTATGGCTGGCCATTCAGTACGTCTCATAATTTCCTCTATACCAGGAAGTAGTTGAAAATGAATTTGGCTTATCAAAAACAAACTACTATTCTTCACACCAAGAAGTCGTCGCCTGAGGAAAATTGCAATTTGCTGTAGGCGGGCATCAAGGATCCTGTAAGCGGTGCCATTGCCGGAATTTCTCCGGTTTGAGTCTCAAGAAGAATAGGATTCATCGACACTCGTGTCCTTGAACGAAAAATGATTGGTCTTTAACACAGTCCCTGTCCTAATTGAAAGTTTGAAAAACGAGCTGAGTCCCAGGGTGAAGTTCTGCGCCCAGGGTCAACGCTAATTAGAGAAGAGGACGAATTAAATGCAGATAAATATTCAAAAACCTTGTCTGTAACTGTGTCATGTTAAAGTCTCTGAAAAGGTATGAGCGTATAATTTACATGGAGATTAGTAGCTTCCGCAGTTTCGCAAGTTTCGGATGGTTTGATTTGAAAATTAGCACCTCAGGAGGGAACGAACGAATTGGAAAAGAACAGGGAAGAATCTCTAGTCAGAGTAGCAAGCATAGAATGATAACAATATATGCCGACGCAACGAGTTAAGATCGAAGAGTCTAATACTGTGAGAAAAACACGTTTTATGAGATTAAAAAAGGGGGAAAATACAGAAAGTTGAAAATCGCTTACTACAATCATTTCATCTCTCAACAGGAGGAGAGAGAAGGGATATTTTCGTAAAATCCTACTAAAAGATTCGCTTCTGACAACAGGTTGTACGCCACACATTTCCAGAACGAATCACTCGTAGTCCGCAACCTCGAAGCCCGGTACTTCATCCCACAATGCCCGCTCACCAACGCCACCGCAGCCGTCACTCGAGACGAATTACTTCTCTGCGATGTGCGGCGCGGCGGGAGCTGAGGCCGCGGGCAAAAAGGAGAGAGAAAATCTCGTCTACCAAACAGTAAAATTCCTCCAGTAATTAGTTAAGAACTCATCTTACTGTAAGTTAGGCATGCCAAAGTGCAGGTAATTTAACTTAATAACTAACTAAATGCTTAACTTAATCTAATTCTTAAGACAAAGCCGCCTCCCTCCAGCTGCTTAAGCCGCAAGGCAGCAGCTTAATGTATCCAAACTATAGAAGAAAAAAAACCGTCACCATAGGGATTCTGCGGAGGGGAAAAGGCCGCGGGCCTCGGAGGTCGGCGCGGCTGTGGGTGTAAGCGCCGGCACGCGACCTCGAGCCGCCTCGAGCGCTGTCAGCGATGATGCATGCGGGGTGTGATGTGTGTAACATAAGCCGCGCATTACGCGTCTCGACGCGGGCGCCCGGGTCACGCCGTCGCCGCC